AAGAATAATAAGAATAAATGATAAATAAAAGGAGAAATGACAGTCAATGATATAATAATAAAATCAAAGTATAAAAGATAAATTTAATATTAATATAAATCAAATGATAATAAATATAAAATGAAAATAGATATAAATGATAATAATATAAAAATGATAAAGATGAATAAACAAATACATCTAGATAGAAAAGAATAACAATAAGAAAATCTAAATAATATAAACATAAAAATAATAAAATAAGAAGAATATAATAATATAGAGATAAACAAATGATATAAATAATTTAAAAAGAAAATAAATATATAAAAATACGATAGATAAATAACATATAAATAAAATAATAAAAATAATAAAAATAAATATGAATAATCAAATCATCTATTTCATTAATATTTCATACAGAATGAATACAAGTGATCATAAAATATAAACATAAATATATACAGATTGTATATTTATCATATTTTTTTATTTTTTATTTTTTTAGGAGCAAAATATAATAAATGGAAAATTCTATGGATGCAAATTATTTTGCATCTTTTTTCTTTTTTGTAAATTATTTAGATGCATTTTTTCTTTGCTAATTTTCGTACCCATTGAATATGATTTAAAAATAAATTCATTCAATAACCACTTGATATTAAACAATAGATAGACATTGAAAATCAAAATATGATTGAACAAATGAAAATGATTTGATTGGTTGTGTTTTATCTTTCAATAATAATTATAATGTTTAATAATGAATAAATAATAAAGTTGAATATTAAATTAATTTATTCTTTTATTCTTATTTCTTTATACTTTCTTTCATTTTTATGAAAGTCTTTGCATTTTATTGTTTAATATTTTCAACATTATCATTAAATTTGATTATAATTGTGTTAGAAATACAATCTATATGAGAAATATTTTTTTGTATTTTAATTCATTAAAAAGAAATGAATAATGACATCTTAATATGAATAAAACTTGAGTTTGACATATTCGACAATTACTCATTTACACTTCATTACAATAAATACTCCATCTAAAACATTCATATTCAAGCAAACATTCAAATTATTTGTCATTACCATAATTATTTAAAGAGTATCAAAGTGTGATTCAAATAAATCTCAAATAATTTGTTTAGTTGATGGAGATCGACTTTATTAATTTAAATTAAAACATGAAATTCAATTATTTGTTATTATATGCAATGAAATAATACAAATAAATTATTTATTCATTTCATCTTATTTCTTTTCTTATTTATTAAAAACACTCTCATTGGGTGTGAAAATTTCATTAAATGAAATAAAATATTTCAACATTGAATTATGTCAATTTTTAATTCAACATTTCATTCATTGGCAGATGAATGAAATGTTCATATTCTTCATTGATTTGTTTTTATTCTTTTTTAGTTCATTTTCAATTAATCAAGATTGAATCATTTCATTTCAATTACTATAATTCGTTTTGGTGTGAAATCTTCTTTTCCACAAAGTGCATTTTCAATTCCTTCATATTTAAATGAATCTTGTTGTTTACAATATGATTGTGTTTTATTATTTTCTTTACAAACAAGAATATCACCACCTCCAAATTCAAACAAACAAATACTTGATTGACTATATAGCCTAAATGCATTTTGTGGTTGTTCAATATCAAATTCCATCATTCCTTTTATTCTTCCTTTTGATTCTAATGAAAATACAAATGATTTGTATAATCACCAATATAACCATTACCAACTTTATCAATTTTAGAATTAACATATCCTCCAAACTTATTTCCTTCTTCATCTCCAATAATAATTATTATATGTCCTTTATTCTTTACTCTTTCTCCAAATACTGATGTGTTTTTACTCCAATTATCAATATCTGAATCAAATAGTATATTGAATACTTCTCTATTTGTCCATTCTTCTATTTGTAACATTTCTTCCATTGTGTTCATTCCTTTCATTACTCTCAATCTCTCTTGCTCTTGTTTCTTTCTTTCTTCTTCTTGTTTCTTTTTTTCTTTTTCTTTTCTTCTCTCTTCTTTCTTTCTAAATAATCACTGTAATGCTTTCCCCATTCTTCTTTCTTCTTATTAAATTGTGTTTTAACTTTATTAATTTCTTCTTCTAATTGCTTGACTTTGTCTTTCATGATCATTTCTTCAATTGAAATGATTTTATCTATTAATTCATTTCGTGTTTTACTTAATGTTTCTTCATCATCGTTACATTCTTTTATGATTCTTGACATTTTATTCTTCATTATTTCTATTTGGTTGATTGTTTCTTGACTTTTTTCTATCACTAGTTTTCTTCTTCTTTCTGTTTCATCAATCCTATCAAATATTCCTTCTCCTCTTTTAATTGCTTCTGAGTATCTTTCATCATCTTTTATTCTAAATACTTCATTTTTAATACTTCCTATATAATATTGATAATTCTTATTAACATCATCAATTGATTTTTGAATGTTTGGAAGTGTTTCTACTACTTCTTTAATTATTTGATTATTCTTGTTTATTAACTCTTCCATTTTAATTTAATTTGATGTTTATAAGTTCAAAATATGAATGTTTAAATAGTTAATACACGTTATTAACACATCAAATTAATCATTGTTTTTAACATCATTCTATTTTAAATAAATGTTATTTTTATATCATTTTACAATAACAATAATAAATACGTAAAGGATTAAATTAAATACAGAATTGAAAATGAAATTAACATTATTAAAGAAGTTAAAAATTTGTTATTAAAAACATGATAAATGTTATTAAACATTGATTCTCTTATAAATAAACATTTAAAAAATAAAATTACTTATTAATAACAATAGTAATTAATTTTAATAAAACAAAGATAATATAAACAAAAGAGATTAACACTAAACTAAATTCTTTTTAATTATTTCTTCTCTTTCTTTCTTGACTTTACCTTCTATCTTAAATTGAATTCTATTTGATTTCTTTATGCATGAACAAATCTTTCTTATTCTTGAATAGACAAACTATTTTATCGTTATTTAACCCTCCTCATTTAATACAATTAATTGAACAAACCTTATATTCTTTTAATTCTTTTAATTGTTTTGTTCCTAATAGACTTACCTCTTCGTTTAACAATCATTCTATTATTACAATGCCTGTTTTCTCTTCACAATGCCTTGGTTGTAAAGTATTAACCATTACTCCTAACAATATTTATCATCACATCCCTAGTATTTTCGGTTTAATGATTTTATTTGACACAAATGGTTTTCCTCTTTGTTTATTAGATGGAAGCACTTTAACTTCAATTAGAACTGGTGGTATTGGTGGTCTTGCTATTGATCTTCTTACACCACAAAATGTAGATTCTGTAGGTTTAATTGGTTGTGGTGTTCAAGGTTATTACCAATTACTCTTTGCGTGTTCTATTAGAAAATTCTCTACTATTTATTTATTCAACTTTCCTGAAATGGATCTTTCTCCTTTTATCCTCAAACTCTCAAATGACTTACTTCTTCATAATATCCACCACCATATTCATTTTGTAGTTTGTTCTTCTTCTACTGATGTTGTTCTTAATTCTCAAGTAATTATCACCGCAACTACTTCTTCTAAACCTGTTCTTCCTGACACACCTCTTCTCTATCTTGATAAAACAATTATTGCAATTGGTTCTTATCTCCCCACTTCTCGTGAACTTCCTGATGCTGTGTTTAACGAAGAAACATCAATGTTTATTGAAATGGATTATGCAAAAAAAGAGAGTGGTGACATTTTAATTCCATTGAAAAGTAATAAACTTTCTGAGGAAAATATTCATTACTTAATAGATGTTAAAAGAAATAAGTCATTAAAACGAAGAACTAACATTTTTAAATCTGTTGGAATGGCATTATATGATAATATTGTTGGATATGACTTATACAGAAATGCAAAAGAGAAGAATATAGGAAAAGAATTAATATTATAAAATAGTAATTAACGTATTATTTTGTTTTTTCATTTATCAAATCAATTTTGAGTCATCAATTATCATCTGATTATGATTTTTTCTTTGATGAGATACTACCTGTTTAAGACTCATTGACTATTCTTTATTCGTTATTTGTTATGAATAATTGTTAATGAAACAATTAATATGATGGAATAATATTATTTATAAAGATACAAATATATTTAATAATGTTGGTTATAAGTTGAACATAAATAGCTATTATCAAGAAAAAAAAGTGATTATTGATATTGAAAATAAATTGAAGATAAATGAAACATAGTAATTATCATAATGATATGAATATATTCAACATACAATAAGAAAATAAAGAATGAAGAGTTTTAATATATATTAAAATCAAAATAACAATCAAAATAACAATTTAAATGAAGTATCATTTAAGTTAATAATGTTTGAAAAAAAAAAACATTAATTCAAAAGAAATAAAATATGTTGAAGAAAGTGAAATATTCACATTTTAACATGATAAAATACAAACTAATGAGTAAATCATATTTGATTTATTTTTTTTTTTATTAAATAAGAAATTAAGAACTAATAATTTACTTTTTTATTATTTGATGTTGTTTTTCTTATTGCTAAGTTTTGCATTTTCACAACAATTTCTATGTGACTCATCAGAGACAATTGACATTGACATCATTGACTCAGTTAGAACTATAACGCTAGATGTATTAAACAATAAAAATCAACCAATGTCATTCCCAGGATGTGGTGATTCAATGACTGATCATGCTGTTTGGTATAGAATTACTAATAAAGTCACACAACCAATCCAAGTTACATTGAGAACACTTCAAACCATTCCTCCAACAACTATCTTTCTAAGAATTTCTTCAAGTTGTCCAAGTGGTCCATCAGTTAATTCTTGTTTACATAAAACAATGTTAACACAAACAAAAGACACATTTTCATTTATACTTCAACCACAAAAAACCAATTATATTGCACTTGTAGTTAATGGACTTTCTAAATATTCAACTCAAATACAAATTACAACAAATACAATTAATAGAAATTCAAAAAAAATTCAAACCACTTTACGTCCTGGTTCTTCATGTCCTAATGCTCGTTCTATTCCTATGCCATTTTCAGGTAGTATTGAACCACAAACATTATTTCATTCAGGAAATGGATTTGAATATTGGATACGATTCATTACATCACATCCAGGAGAATATGTTATAAACACTTGTTCATCACATCAACACAATATCGAACTTCAATTCTTTAGTACTTGTGGTAAATTAATAAGTTCTATTGTTAAAACTAAATGTGTTACTGGATTTGGTTTTGTTTATACATTCCAATTACCTATTGGACAAACTATGGTTCAAATACTTTCTCATCAACGAACACAAATTCCATTTTCATTAAAAATGAAATCAAATGATAAATTACTTCATAGTGATATAAGAAATGCTAAAAGTATTTCTATTCCATTCAAAGAAAATATAGAATTTGAACAATGTCATCATTCTTCTGATCATTGTAATATAAATGCAATTCAAACATCTGCTATTTATTATAATGTTATTGTTCCTATTGGAGATAAAGTTGTTGTTAAAACATGTAATCCTAAAACAACAGTTAATACAAAAATTAGTATTTTTGAGAATTTGTATTATAACAGTAAATGTCTTGTTCAACAAACTATTCATCAACCTTGTAACTTTAGTTCTATTGTTGAATGGAAAAATATTGAACAAGAACAAAAAAAGATTGTTATAAGAGTTGGAGAAGAGTTTAGAGATTCAAAGGGTGAAGCTGAAATTTATATTGATGTTGTACCAGCTGGAATTACAGCAATAGAGAGTAAAATGATTGAAGATAGAACAATCCCTCATTGGGCTCCAGATTCAGTATCAACAAAACAAGAATGGATTAATAGACTTAAAAATAAAAAGAAAGTCATACCAAAGAAAACACATAAACAATTCATTCATCCAATCAAAAATAAAACACCACATCCTTCTTCTGTAACTCCTCCATCTTTACCTCAATCTATTAATCAAACACAACATTTACAACAACCACAACAATCAAATATTCATCCTATTGAAACAAATAAAAATACTAATAATTATAGTAATTCAAAAAGAGCTCTTATTGTTATCTTTGTTGTTTTAGTATTATTGGCATGTGTTGTTGTAGGATTTGTGTATTTCAGAAGAAACAAACAAGAGAGTCAATATTTTGATTTAATGTCTTAAATCTTTTTTAAAAACACAATTTTATTCAGAAGATATTTTTTTGTTTTTGTTTTTTAAATTTTAAAGAAATTTTAAAAGAAATTTAAAAGAAGAATTTATAAAAAAAAAGAACTTAAAAAAAAAGGAATTATTAAGAATATCAATGATTATCATTCTTTTCTTCATTTATTTTGGACTATCATCTCCTATCTCTGAATTTACATTAGAAGCACCATATACTACTTTACTTAAAAATTGGAAAAAAGTTGGTAAAATAAATGTGATTAATGACACAATGATTGAACTTACACCAGACACCCCAAGTGTTTCAGGACTTATTATTTCTAGAAAAAGAATACCTATTAAAAGCTTTAAAATGGAAATTACACTACAAATAACATCAAATAAAGAAGGAAAACATGCTGATGGTATTGCGTTATGGTTTACACAAACACCATTAAAAACAGGAAAAGCATTTGGAGCATCTAATAAATGGAAAGGAATTAGTGTTATTTTTGATACATTCCAAAATGGTAAAATTGAAGTACCAACAGCACAAATGATAATGAATTTTAATAATAAAGAATATAATGGAGAAACAGATGGAATTGATCTTATGTCTAAGTCATGTTATTTTGGGTCATATAGAGGAAGTCCATTTACAGTATATTTTGAATATAATCATGACACTCATGAAATTAATTTAGACCTTCAACAACAAGGAAAAGAAAAAGTTAGTTGTTTTAAAGCAGCAGTATTTAAAATGGATATTGGTCAATACTTTGGAATTAGTGCAAGTAATGGAGATCTTAGTGATAGTCATCGACTACTTTCTGTTAAAATGATTGATCCAAAAGTTAAAATACCTAAAAGAAAAGAATATAAAACTAAAGAACCAGAAACACAAGAATTAAAACTAGAACCAATTACTAATAATTTTAATGAAGAAGAAATTAATAAACAATGTGATGATAATGAAAAATGTAAAATGATAAAAATATATAATACAATTGGAAATATTTCTGATGAACTTGCATTAAATATTAAATTAGCAAAAGAAAGAAATGAAATTTTAAATAAAATATATGATAGAATGGAAAAAACATCAAAAAGTGTAACTTATTTAAGAAGTAGTGCAACTGTTTTAAAAACAATTCATGATATTCAAGATGATGAAGCTGATAAAGTTTCAGATTTCTTTACTTCAATTGGTGATTTGATGGATAAAATTACAACACTTAGTCATTCTTTTTATTCTTCAAATAATCAATATGAAAAAGTTATTTCATTAACAATTAATGATTATTTCATATTTGGATTCCAACTTATTCTCTTTATTGCAGTTCTTTTTTACACTGTAATTCTTTATTCAAATAATTTCAACAGAGTAATTTAATACTTCTTTTTTTATTTATTTCTTTTAAAATTAAAAAAAAAAATAAATGAAGAAAAAGAAATTCATTCATTTTAATTTATATTCACATTTATCTATTCATTCATTTAACAATAACACTATTTGTTGTTTTAAAATGAGTTGGTAACTTTGGTGTATGAAGAAATTCACTATCAACTGGAAATGATATTGGTGAAAATTGTTCTGACCAATCAGCTGAATCAAAAAATTTTTTATTCTTTCTTTCAGCTTGAGCTAACATTCCATATGATTTAGTTGTATCTGACATGTTTATTTTAACAATATTTTTTAGTTTTACTTCTTAAATTAAATATTCATGACAACTTGTTCATGTCATCACCACAAATATCTTTATTATTTCTTTTTTTTTTTTTTTTGAAACTTTCATTTAACTTCATCGATTTATTGAAGATATTTGCTTGAATATCAAACCTAATATCTGCCTTTTTGTTTTGAGTGCTTTTTTAAAACTCAAAACAGTGAAGATTGGCTCTTCTTTTAAACTAAAAATAAATTATTCTCGACTGAATTGAAGTTGTTAAGTATTTTTGAAGTTTTTATAACATAATATTTTCCTTAATCATTTCATTCTGTTTGAAATGATGAAACAAAAAAAAAGTAATAAAAAAAACTTACAAAACGTATTAAATTTAACCCTATTTTATTTATTCTTTCATTCTTCTTTCTTAATTTTTTCTTGTGTTAAATGAGGAGGATAATAAGTTAACCACAAATAAAGTATTAATGGAATAAGATAACCAAGGAAATATGTTCTATAAACTACAATAAGTGAAGGAATTAATTCAAATCTCATGAAAGGATAAACTGCATAATTTAAATGCCAATGATTAAATATTCTTAATAAAATATCATATCCATTCCATACAATACTTCCTTCTCCAAATTTCATTCTCATATATGGATCAAGTCGTTTATAAATTAAATTTGATAAATCTTTATCAAATCCTAAAACAAAAAATGACATATAATATCCTGGATATACTCCATGCCAAAATGCACAAACTGCCATAGTTAAACTTGTTTTATATCTTTCTAATGGTGTTCCAATCATAGAGACATAAACATAATTCTTTAACCATTTTTGAACATAAGTATTCCAAAGATCCATATTTACTTTACATGACCTACATACTTCAAATTCTATAATACTAACATTTCTATATAATAAAAATTCATCTTTTCCTTCTTTTGTTGTTCCAGTATAACCACATCCTGAAATTTCTCCAAGTGATTCAGTCAATTTCCATGTTCCATAATATTTTAATCGAATTGTAGAAACTGTCCACCAAATGGTTAATAATTTCCACCAAATACTACATGTTTCTGGATGTTCAAGAATATAATATTCTGGGTTTGGTAATGGATTACTATTAATATATGCATAAATAAAATATATAATAATTCCTCCAATATAATGTTCTAGGAATTTCAAAATTGGGATTTTAGGAAGTTCTTTTCCTTTGATAAGATTAAATCTACTCATATCAATAAATGACATATAATCCCGATATTCTAATGATGGTCCACTAAATAATCCTGGATAAAAGAATATAAATCCATAAAATTCTATAATACTTGGATATTTATTTATTTTATGTGCTTCTAAATATGGTGTTAATTCTTTCTTAAATGAATTTGCAACACTAAATGCAAATGCGGTTAATTTTAATGTAATAATCATATGTGTTGTTGTAAATTCAAGTGTCCAGACAAGATACATATTAAAATATAAATAAATATGTCGATATAATAAATATCCAAATGTTATTATAAAACATATATTTGCTGCTTTTTGTGTTTTATTATATTTCATAATTAAATAAACTGGTATTGATGTAAAAAATACTGTTATAAATTCCATTCCAAAAAGTAAATATGAAAAAACCATTCCTAATGTTCCATAAACAATATGTTTAATATTTTGATTATTTGGAAGATATCTTAATCCAAAACAAATTGGTGCTGCAAGTACTGCATTTGAAAAATATTTCACTTGGTCTAATGGTACATTAAGTGCACTTGAAAGTGGTTCGACCCAATCATCTGCAAGTGAATAATTACTAAACATCTTCTTTCTTATTTCTTTTTATAAGTTCTTTAGGTTTTTATTCTTTTCTTCCTATAAAAATAGACCGTTTGGACTTTTATTCTTCTTTTCCTTTTTTCTTTCTTTTTTAACTCTTTTTTTTATCATTTTTCTTTTCCTTAACCTTTAGTATCTTTTATTACATCTTTTTCTCTTCTTCATTCCTTCTTTCTTATTTGACGTCATTAAACAATTCATCATTATTCTTTATCTAAATGTTATTCCTTTTTTTTGTTCATCTTTTCTATTTCTTATTCCTTTTGTTGTTTTTGTATGAATTATGCTTTTTATGTTTTTGAAATTTCTTTCTTCTTTCTTTTTTTTTATTTTTATTATTCTTTGTTTCTTTTTTGGTTATGTTCTTTTGTCTTTCTTCTTATTTTCATCATTTGACTTTATTTAATTTGTATTATTTTAGCTTTTAATAACAGATCATAACTATTAACTATTGTGTTATTACATTGTTCATTTGTGTTTTTGCATCTTTTAAATAATAACTCTCTTCGTCTGACTCAATCTTTTAGTTAAAAAATAATTAAAATATTCACAACTCATTTGATTTGATTGTTTATTGGTAAATATTGTATGACTGTTTGTTTACACCGAATTTTAGTAATACTTCTTCACTTTTTTCTCTCTTCTATCAAAATTATCTGATTAAAAATAAATCAACAACAAACATTTAGGTATTTTAGATATTATTACTCACTCATTTATTTATGTAATCTTTTATTCTGTTTAATTTATCAGTTTTATTCTTTTTGTTTAACTCCTATTCTTAATGTTTTTATTTGATTAATTATTTCCTATCTTCAGTTATTCTTTCAATTAAATAATTCAATATAGTATGTTATACTTACATGAGGTGATGAAAATGAACGTTGGAATACAAAATAACGTATTAAAATTTATTAATATGCAGGTAATTAACATAAAAGGGAAAGTGTTTATATTAATATGTGATGAGACATAATAAAAACATAACAAGTATAGAAAAATATAAAAAGAAATGATAATTCTTAGAAATATAAAGGAAATAGAAACACTCATAAAACCCAAAAATACAACAAAACAATGAAGTTGAATTGAAGAAAATGAATTTGTAATGAACAAACAATACATAAAGAAAAGATTAAGAATTAATTATGTAAAGAAAAGAAATAGAAAACAAAAGAGTAGATAAAATAATACCAGAATTTGTTATAAAGTGTAAAATAAGAATGGTGATAATAAATAACAATATTATAGAATATAAGTCATGTTAATTTTATCATATTTATAAGTGACAATTAAAGTAATGATAAATTTGCATATTAGATAATATAAATTATGAATATGTTATTGAATTAATTAGAACAGTGATGTACTAATGTACCAGAGAATGTGAAATAGGAAATAACATATTAGATAAATGGTACAGTAAGAAATGAATATGGAATAGAATTAAAAAACACCAATTCATAAAATAAATGAAACAAAAATAGAAGAAATAATAAATGAAGGGATTGAAAAGAAAAAAGAAAAAGAAGTAGTGAAGAAATGGGAATAATCCACAATGAAATTAAAGATAAATAAATCAAAAAATGGAAGTGTCATCAAACAAATGATATTTTAGAAGATGGTTTGAGTCAAAATGAGTAGATAAAACTACTACAGTGAAAGCATGGAAGTCCATCAATATTAAAAAAAATGCATTCCTACAATTAACTAAAATGAATGATGGAGCAATATTTTGTGGGTATAAAAAAGCAAAAATAATGAAAAATGAAAGATTGAAATATTCCACACTTTGTAAAGAAAAGATAGCTACAGTAGAACACATTCTACTATCTTATATTGGTCATAAAAAATCACAAATAGAAAAACATGACAATATAGGCATTATAATATGGGAGGGATTAATAAGAAAATACATAGGAAATAAACAATATAAAAAACCTCCATATGAAACAGTGTTCCAATATAAAGACATCACAATGATATGGAACAAACAAATAATGCATAAAAGTGAATGGACAATACCACAAAATACCAGACATATATGTATTAGATAAAAAGAATAAAACTAGTCTATTATTTGATATGACTATTGTGGCTGATCACAATATTAATTGAGTGTAAATGAAGAAAAGAAATAAGTATAAGGAATTAAAGAATATTCTAATGAAAATAGAAAAATTAAAAGATGTCAGAATGGCAACTAAAAAAGCAAATAATTGAAAAAGAAGAGAATGAATGATATAAAAGAATAAAAAGAAAGTAAAAAGTAGAAGAATATGAAGAAAGAATAAAAGTAGAAAGGAGAGAATATAAAAAGAAAGAAGATAAAGTGTAATAAAACAAAAGAGATGATAAAAGAAGAAAAGAAAGAAAAAAATAAAGGATGCAAATTTTATTGAAACAAATAAAAAAAGTGCAAAATTTAATGATGCAAAAATTAATGATGCAAAATATTTAGCAACATATTTTATTGATGCAAAATATTTTGAAATAAAAATAATTCATCATTTGATATTATTATTTTATTTGATAATAAATTATATTATATATTAAATACATCATATTTCTTTATTATTTATCTTTCTTTTTATTATTTCATATATTAAATTATTATTATTCATTCAATTATTATTTATTAAATAAAATGAAAATGAAATTGTAAAATATCAATTAAATATTCATGAATAATAATTTATTAATATTTAATAATTGAAATAACAAATAATAAAGTAACAATAATGATATATTCAATATATTCTTTATTTGATTTGTTCAATATTAGATTATTTTATTTCATTATCATTTCATTGTCTTCATTATTTTATTTCATTTATTATTTCATATTCATTTATTATTTTTAAAATCAAATAAACAA